AAACCAAGAAAGAAACCTCTCTGGGATATTTAATTAATGGACTTTCTGTGCTGCAGGAACCTAAGGGTCCTTGTGCTTAAAGGCGTGTTCCTACTTGCTACATCCCTGCTGTCTTCCCTGCATGTGTTATTAGCTATAACACTGACAAAGACACTTGACAGTACTTTAATTAAAGAATCTCCCAAAAAACATCTAATTAAAAGCTTTACAGCAGAGCTTGAACCTCCTCCACGAATAATCCATTCTCTATTTTTTTTTTAGATATGTATAAATAAATCAAGGATTTTTAGTTCTCTATTACTTAAATGGGTTTTGCTTTTTCAGTTTCATTAAAGGTATGAAAGCACCAACCTACTCTTCTGATCACTGTTGGGAATGAATGCTAATTAGATATCCCGATGCTAATTAGATTTCCCAGTATAGGAAATCTATAGTAACTTCACAGCTCTATTGTAGCTTCAAAGGAGGGCTCCCAGAGTCACGAATAGCAGCAAAACAACAAAATATCAATCTATAGTTTCAGTCTTCTCTGAAATACTGAAGCACAATTGAAAATAAAGAAAACTCAAGTTTTAAGAACAAGAAAGAAGAATTACCTAAGAAAATAAGGTAAAGAAACACTCTTCTGTATTACTGCTTACATTGAATTCTTTAAAGATCAAAGAATACATATCCATCTATCCCAGGGCACTAAGATCTCMATCACAGATGTTTTTGCTATCAACAACTTGCTGCGTGAAAAATGAAACATACTTTCTGCATAGCCATTGCACCTAAGTGTTGGCTTCAAATTTCCTCATTTGGCTTACAAGGAGCARATTTGCAAAAGATGATGTTTTGTTTCCTATTAAGTTACAGTTCTGCTATATCAGAGACAAAACATACTTTGTCTATTTGAATAAACCAACAAAATGCAGCTAAGTGTGGATGGAAAGAATAATGAAGTTGCTTATGTTTTACTGGTCAAATATATCTTTCACAAAAAATAGTGGTAAARCTGTTTTGATTTATCCTTGTGAGTCCATGCTTACTATAAAAAGAACATGATTTTGATCGAGTGTTTTACTAATAAATTTATATCATCTACATAATTTGAATTATACAAGTTTTAATTACATTATAATGTAGCTTATGTTATTAGAAGACTTTGTATTTATTTCAGATAAAACAATATGTAGTCACTACCTTATTAATTTATTTAAAAAAGAAAAATGTTCTATATATGTAAGAAAAACCTCAAAACTCTTCTAAAAGAACCCCAAGACTGACTTAACACAGAATTTATAGTACATATTTTAACACATCTCAAATTTATCAGCTTTAATAAAATTCTGTTTTACTGACACATCTATTATATAACTGAATAATTATATAATTAGTCACATTGAATTTTCACAGAAACTTCAACACCTTCTATTAMTTTTAAATCAGTACTTTTGGTTGTCTAATTTTGTGTCTTCCTGTTGTCTTCCTCTTTTCATAGATACATGTATTTTATGCTTCTTAAACTCCTACTTAATATGTATGATTCACAGTAAAAACGAAAAAAAAAATTCACTATATTCTGAAAAAATATAAACCTGACTGAATTACAGATAATAAAASATAGAAATGGTTCCCTCTTTTAAATCACATTTAAACATATTTGCACTGTAGTACTCTTAACTTCTACATTTTTGCAAACAAGTCCATACAGCTGTATTTTTTCTGRTACATTCAGCCATCCCCAGGGAAAACCTTCTTTATAACAGCAGCAACTATATGTGGACTATTTTTTTTTTTAAGCTACTTGAGCTAAGAGGATGGTGACAATACAAAAGAAAATAGGAGTAAATAACTGACCATTTGTCAAAATTCTTTTCTGTTCCTGAGGTAAAACAATAATGAGCTACACTGGTCACAGACATGAGTTCCTGAAAACTTTTTCACATATGGTGGATTCAGTAATTGGCATTTGATGATAGCCAAATTCTCCAGATATTCTGTCTAAGTCTAGACAGATGTATATTCCAGATTACAGATCAAAAGTCTGAAAAGGAATTTCTGTTGGCTGCTGTGCTTCTGGGTATCAGAAGAGTTGCTATTTTGTCAAATTTTCAGTGTTCTACTTATCCACATTCATGCACCACAAGGAAAGTGAATCGACTCAAAGGGAAAGGGAGAGAGACTGGTGGTAAATAAGGAATCAGAGTGAAAGTAAGGAGATAAAAAACTGTGAAGCTAGATAAATCATGAGAGATAACAGAAATGAAATGGAAGGGAAAAAAAAAAGTTTTTGCACTGGCCAGGTCAAAGGAAAATAGAATGATTAACTAAGAACCCTATATTGTATTTAATTTCAATAAAGTGAGTAAGTTTGGGAGTATTTTTGAGGAACTCAGTAATTATGTGAGTTATCACTGAATTCTCCATAGCACTTTTGAAAGTTCTTACCCAGTGTTGGATAAGAACAAGGTTGGAGACGTTAATGATGAGCTGTGTATCCAAGCTATACCCACCATTTGTTAGAGAGATTGCTTTGTGGATTTGGMTAGAACTGCCAGGATCAATAGAGAAAATTGTGTTCCAGTGCCTGAAAAACTTCCCCAGCATTGTTTAATTTATTAGCATAATTGTAGCTAGGAAATACTGGTATTGGCTAAGATRTCTGATGCAGAAAAAAAGGAATAGAGAAAGAAATAATCCCACATGAACTTCAAGATAAGGACACAAGCTAAGAACAAATAAGGATAAATCAGAATAAGTCAGGACAAAGAACCTAGTGGAAGAGAAATCCAAGATGGAATAATGAAAACCAGAATGATCCATGGCATCCAAAACATGTACTCTTTTAACAAGCAAAATTGTCTCACTTTTCCTGAATCTCATCACTCTTCTAACATCAGCATTTGTGAAACTTGCAAGTCTAAACTTAAGAAGATATTTTTTAAGTCTTATTTGTTCCCCAAAATTAGTTAGAAAAAAGGGATAATGGTTATATTCCACTGCAAGTGGAAGATATTAGAGATTTGGATATCATTGTAAGTTTCTAATTCTTCAAGATGATGTTACAATAGCACATGATTTCTGACATAGTTTGGACTTTGTGTGACTGTTTAAATGAAAGAATATTACAGAAGTAAATTCACATGAAACAAATTAGAAAACAGGGCAATTGTACTACTTTTAGGGTTTTCTTTTCATCCATTTGTGAAGGCTGGCCCTCAATTACCTTAAACCACAAAAAACCATTCAAGTTTTACACCTCATATAATGGAGTACATCATATGGCACAGACAACTCAAGGAGCAACTGAAAATCTTAAGCTTTTGTAGAAAGYGGGAATTTTCTTTTTCTACTTTTCCATTGCCTCATCCAGTCTCCAAAGTTCTCAGAGATAGCCACAAAGTTCTTAGATAGCTTCATTCATATTAAAAATATTTACCTTCCCCCGCCTTCTTTCTGAATCTCCTTCTTTCCTTAATCTACCCTCACATGCCATCTTTTGCAGTCAACAACTCCATTTKATGTTTCCATGTGATATTTTAATGAAACCTGAGGCAAAAGAACCATACACTACTCGAGTATTTTCACAGTTTTTTCCCCAAGGGAACAACACTGTCTTTCATCTTTCTCTTACCTCCTCTTTTCTTTCCCTTCCTCTTATAGAATGATTTAACAATACCAGTAGTGTTTCTTGCTRTTCTGTGCCAAGGCATTCTTGATTTTGCCCCAGTATTCCTGTGCCATTCATTCACTAAGGAATCAGATTGTATCCTTCTTATGCTTCAYAAGAACTTCTTCATTTCATGGATCYYTAGCTTGAAACCCTCTGGATGATGCACATTCYAGAGTGGCAAAGCCACAACTGACAKGAGTGGGCACTACTCYTTGAACATGTAGAATACTACATAAATCATGGTCTTACATTGTTAGAATAAGTATTTCTCAAACATTATTCCCAAAAAGAGCAGTTTTATCTTAAATTATGTTTATTTGCTGTTTCTGTTTTCTATTAAGATGGTAGAGCTATTATGTTATAAAAAAAAACCAGCACATATCCTGATTAAATATATCAAMGTGAACAGCAACTTGTGATTAAATCATTACATGTGCATTTAGAGAAGATTAAAACTGCASAGTTTTTGGTAGCCATTTCAAATTAAAGCTAAATCAAATATATGATAGAATCATCATGATAAAATATTGTTAATTTAAAGAATATAAGAATGTCTTTTGGTAAACTAATCGGAAACAGCATATATTTTATACGTACATGATTCAAGGCAACAGAAGATAAATCTTATTGGCATTTCCACTCTTTTAATTACTGGATTTTGTAACATTAGCATTCTTTCTTTCATGTTAATGCACCTCAGTTACATTGTGTATAACAAGTTGCTTAAGAAGGATAAACCCCAAATCTACAATGCATTAAAATGTAAAAACTATTCAGAAGAAAGGTTTGAGTTATTAATTCTGAATTGTGAGTTATTAATAAGTTTACACTTTAAAAAAGTACCAGCTTATGAAAGGAAATGAAAGTGACAATATCCAGCTCACAGAAAAAACTTTTAAAATAATTTTTAATGTAAATTTCAAATTATTATTTTTTCTTTCAGATATTTCAAATTTTTAAAGATTTATGCAGTTACTTAAACTGAGAATTGATTAAGACAGCAACATAGGAATATTCTTCAAAAAATGCAACTGTTCTTTCAGTGATCTTATGTAATTTGAATTATGTGAATATAAGACACTCTTTTAAAGTATTTGAAAAACAAGAAAAAGATACAATTTTCTTGACTGTCCTATTGAACTTGAAAAGTCTGAAATTTTTAATAGCTTGGAGATAAGAGATAACAAAATGCAATCAGCCTTGTAAATGATAAATAAGCATTTTGGATGATTAAGATTAAAAAGAAAAATATTTAAACAAAAACACTATTAATTAGAATGTAGTGAACAGAAATATCAACATCTGCCTCGACAGGAAGTATACAATATATGCACCACAATACCTGTATACGCAAACTGAACAAGATCCCACAGTGCATTGGGGTCTATGCCTTCCATTTTGATCTCTTCTTGCTTGGCTTCACAAACATCACTTGTAAACATGGCAGCAAAGTAGTCAGAGACAGAACTGAGGACGAGTCTGCAAAAAAGTCAGAAACTGATATAATTTGCTTGAATATATGCACTAGAAAACTTCATATATATGTTAATATTCATATAGATTAAAAATTATTAGGAGCAGTATATTATCAATGCACATAGGCAGCAAAACACAGCATGACATTTAATTCTAATTTGGTTTTGCCTCCTGTGATATGAACCAAGTGTTACTTTAGCATATGACTATAAAACAGACACAGAAATTAGCACTTAGTCTTTCTGATAATCTTCCAATCACACAGGTGTCCCAACTGTTAATAAGATAATCTGTCAGTCTCAAAGACAATTTATTAATGACATGCATTTGATAATTCAWAGGTACTCTCCTTTGTTCTTAAAGGCTTATTTGTTATAAACTTTAATGATAGAGTGTGACTTCAGACAATCTATAAATCTTCCACTAAACTGTGAGGAGCTTACTGTGCTACTCACTAAAAATATACAATGGAATCACTGTGTAATACAATATTTTTCTTAATAAATGTGTCTACAGAAAATAATTTGAAAATACCTACAAAATGTGCATGGCTTGTTGTTTAGGGATCTGATCTAGATATATCTGATCTACATATATCAATACCACACCAAGCGTCAGGTAGGATTSTAATTACTGGGGCTTTAAGTTAAGGCATTCTTCCAAATACCATCTAGAGTGAAATTTTGATCTTGTTAGGACTGAATATTCACAGATGATCTTGAGATAGAAATGTGATACAGCTATAAATAGTGTACCATGTGCTTCCATAAAGATGATCACATTTCTGGATTAATTTGAAAACATTATATCCAAACACATTAACAAAAGACACAACAATCACAACTGGAGAACTTGGAAACCAAGAGAAAAACATTTAACCTTCTGCATATTGTTAAGTAGCTTGTTCAAGGCAAATAATTATTAAAAAACAAAAATAGCAGAGAAAAACAAGTTAATTCTCATCAGCCAGCAGGGTAATTGATTGCCTTTGCTCTCTTAGCTCATCCCAATAGCTAAGTAAAGTATGACAGCTTGAATTGGCTTCATAATTTTACAGTGCTTTAAGCTACTATATTTTACCAGCAAGTACAGCAGCTTGAAGACATATATATCATCTTTGCCTCTAATGATGGGAAATGACTAAATAGGTGTAATAGTTTTATCACTTTTCATGCTGTGGTCAAYTCTAGAAATCATTAATTTTAGAAGTAAACATCCTAATTTATAAAAAGTTCACATTTATATTTATGTAATTACTAAAAAACAATAGATGACTACAAAAGGATGAACTTAGAAACATACTTTGGTGCTGCCACCAGAAACTCCTAATTTTCTATTCTTTCATCATTGAGGAACATTTACTTCTATGTTTGTTTATTTATTTCATTCTATCTTATTTCTATCTTATTTATTATCTTCGTAAATCTTCTAATACTTTTTCTGACCACTTATAAATAAGTGAATTTATTGTTAATAGATGCTTTAATAAAAAAAAACCACGGAAATAATGGAAAGGAAAAAAAAGCATGAAATATTGATGGTGTTCTATGGTATAACTTTCACAGACAGCAGAGACAATTTATGTATGTTGTGTTACTACATTACGATTGAGATTTTAATTYGAGACCATTTTGAATTAGATGTGGCTTCAGATTTACTAGCCATCATTTAAAATCAACTATGGGTATTCAGCTTGGTCATTTGCTAAAAGAAAGGCCAAAATCCTTGGCTGCATCAAAAACAATGGACGAATGAATGAACAGAATTTTTGATACACTAGTTAATGATCAATGGAAACATTTTCAAACAGCAGTATCTTGTATTTTTAATTTACATAATTTATGTTCAGCTGTTATTTGTTATATAATCTTACTGTGGACATATTGTCAAATATAAAGCAAACAAACAAAAAACAACAGAGGGAGGACAAAAATAAATAACAGAAGGATTAACATCTCTTACACAAACTTCTATAAAAATATGTTATTTTCCACAGTTTGGGTSAGAAAACTCCAAGAAGCTCTCCAATGGATTTCAGCTGCAAAGGGGCATTCAGTCTAAAGRAACACACAGCATCCAGTCAAAAGTGGGGATAAAAAAAAATAACACAGAAGTCAGGTACTCAGCATTACCCATTTTTCTCAGAGGTTTATCCCTACTGGTTTACACCACCTATCAAAGAAGATGGCTTAAATGTTCTGTGATGTAGCAGCACACCRACAGAAGCAAAACAAGCTTTTGAACAGTGATAAATAAAGAGGATTGGGTTTTTTGAGAGTCTTATGTTAATCAATAGTTAACAGAAATACTAAATCAGTTGTTTTATCAACTTACTACAAACAAAAAAAAAAGTTTACTGTTTTCGAGACACTAACTTTTACCTTGGGAAGTGCTCTGCAAATTGAACTGAAGTGAGAGGAACTTGCTAATTACACTTAATTCAGAAAGGTGACACCTTTTGCAAATCTTTACTGTGTTCCAAGGGTTGAGATAGAAGATCAAAAGTGAGAAATCAAAGAGATCAATTAATTTGTAATGATCTGCTGCTTTTTGTAGATCAGAAGTCTCCAAACAGCCCAAAATCTTGGTTTAAAGGCATGTTGACCTATTAATCAAGAAAGGTCAGGTGTCTGAGGATGTCATCTTTTTCAACTACTGATCTGGCAGTGAGAATACATAATAAACTCTTTTATCCTTGAGACTCATAGCAGGTAACTCATGGCTTAAAGCAAGTTTGTGAAMCCAGAAAGATTTTCTCCAGATTAAGGGACTTCTTTACCTTCACAACTAATTTCAGCATGGTAAGTTTCTGGTTTATTTTATAAATGTGTGACTAAATTTTATAAATTTATTTTGTAAATATGTGACTGATTAAGGTTATCAGGATATCAGACTTTATTTTAGTTTATTATAGAATATTTATTTGCCATTTTTACATCTGCTTTCATATATACCTTTGATACAGGACTGCCTCAACACTGATGGTGCATTTATTAATTAAAAGAAGCAAACAAAGCTTGATCGCTTAAAAACTTTAAGAAAATTTTAAGCTCTGAATTCTGAAAGAAATAAAATCTCCCTTTCAATGAATAGTAGAATAATTCACAACACAAGATGAATATTGACCTGTCATAGCCATCCAGGGCCACCGAGATGATYAGAGGGATGGAGCACCTCTCCTATAAGGAAAGGTTGAGAGAATTTGGCTTTTTCAGCCTATAAAAGAGAGGACTTTAATTGTGGCCTTCCAGKACCTAAAGGAGCCCACAACAAAGATGGAGGAGGGTTCTTTATATGGTTCTATAGTGATAGAACAAGGCAGAATGGCTTCAGAGTGAAAGAAGGTAGGTTTARATCAGATATTAGGAAGAAATTCTTCACTGTGAGGGTGGTGAAGCACTGGAACAGGTTRGCCAGAGAAGCTGGGGCTGCCCCATCCCTGGAAGTGTTCAAGGCCAGGCTGGATGGGGCTCTSAACAACCTGGTSTGGTGGAAGGTGTCCCTGCCCAAGGCAGGGGGAATGGAATGAGATGATCTTTACAGTCCCTTCCAACTCCAACCATTCCATGATTCTATGTTCATTGCTTTTAAATGTGATTAGCTGCTCTGCAGAGGACATCAGCTACACTCTGTRTGTCTGCTAACAGCAAAGCTCTACAGACAGCTCTGAACTCAGTTGCTTAGTTGCTTCACAACTCTTCCTGCAGCAAACATTTACTGAATGTACACAGAAGGCTCCACATTATCATAAATTTTACGGCTTGTAGAACATATTCTAAGGTATATCCATGCATGCACTTGAAATAATTTCAGGGAAAAAAAGGAAGTAGACATTAGTCATATAGAACAATTCCAGAACAATGTGGACAGTACAATCAAGAGTGGCATCTTTTCTGAATTAAATACAGCAAAGGACCAGGCTATGGAACAGATCAACTGTTTTGGACTGCCAGTGGTAGTGATTACCTTTCCTGATTACTGTGGCAATTCTTTTTGAGAACAACTATGTAATGGTTAATAATAATAATAATAAKRAGAAGAATAACAATAATAATAATATCCACAAAGAAGCCAAATAGAGAGGCAGATGGAATTTTGAAGATAATTTATTAACCCTGAAACAAGAAGGTGTTTTTTTGTCTTTACTCAAACACAGCTTTCTTTAGTTTTAATTATTTATATAACACATATCTCTAAGAGACACCAATAAGCTACACTAAAATGATGTTTTCTCTTTACTCYGAGGGCCATGCCTTTTGAGATGACATTCTTAACTTTCTTTAATTCATCTTCTTTTAAATCTTTCTGTCTCAGAAACTTAACGGAAAATACAGTACCTCTATCTCTTCTACTGTACAAAYTGAAACACAGTCCTACATCTCATTGTATCTCTTACATTGTCACAATGTTTTTAGGAATGTTACACAAATCCAGCCGCAAATTCARTCATCATTTCCACCAAACACATAATGTCTACCAGAACTTTATTTTTCTTCAGAAACTGCAAGTAATGCACATRTCTCAGTAAAGAGATTTGATAAAAAAGTCCAGTGTTCAAAGCACTCCATCAGTGTGTTCTTGTTTAACTTCTGAAGATACCTGCTACTGTAGCCAGTATTTTGAATTTCATGCTGTTTTGAACCAGTACAAAGATGAAAAAAAATTTAAAAAAAGGACATATGAATATAAGTGATTTCTCAATTTTGGGAATGGGCAGAACAGGCAAAACGTCACAGTGAGGAAGATAAGAGCTGAAGAAGATCCATTATGATCCAAATACAAAACAGAGCTCAGTGTTTTTCTCCAGAAGAAAACCCATATATTCAGACAGAGCATACATATTTGATTGTAGAAAGACAACACAATCAACTGCGATACTCAATTTGCAGACTTAATGATTTAATTTATTCACTGTATCTCCACAAGAAAAAGAGGTAAAAAGCTTCCAGGAGAAGGAAAAGTTCAGTTCTATACTCTCTGAACTATCAGTAGAAATGTCAGAAACACAGACACTAGGTGTGATGAAAGTATAGAGATAGATCTGCAAAGTCATTAGAATGTGACTGTTTAAGTATCTAGATTTTTAAAGTCCATTTGTCATCCTTTTCTTCTATAATGCATCTGTCTAAAATGATGCAGTAGTGCATAATTATTAATTTATCTTCACAACCCCTTCTTCCATAGATCTTTGGATCTTTGGTTTGTTCAAATCCCTGTATGTGATTTTCAATCCCTCTTTTGATGGTGGGTTGTCACATCTTCCTGACCCAAGTAATTCTTATATGTAACTTTTTGTCATTCTCTAATCTAACCTGAATTTGTCTGCTTTATTTTCATATTCTGTATCATTTAGTTTCTTCCTCATTTTCAATTTTTAAAAATAAAACAATTTGAAACAGGAATCAATCCCKTAAACATCGATGTCAGACAGAATCAGTTTTGAATTCAGGTTTAAAGCTGACCTATGAAAACCTTGCTCAGTCGTGAACCACACAGTGGAAGCCAGACAGGTCACTCACAGAATCTCAGGAGAGATAAGTTGGCTGAACAATTCTTTTTGCTTTCTTAGGACACCTCATCCTTGTTTCTCTTACCCTTCAAAGTCCATTTTTGTTACTGCACCTACTTTCACTCCATAAAGTAATAGCATTAGTATTCTGGTTTAATACAATAATAAAATWTCTCTAGTTGGAAAGGACCCTTAAGGCTCCTAAAACAAAAATAAAATGTGATAAAGCACATGGTCCAGATGCTTCTTGAACTCTTACCACTTCCCTGGGAAGCCTGTTGGAGTGACTTACCACCCATCTGCTGAAGAACGCTTTTCTAATATCCAGTCTGAAATTCCCCTGACTCAGCCTTATTCCATTTCCTTGGGTCCTCTCACTGGTCACAACASAGATGAGATCAGCACCTCCCCCTCTGCTGTTCCCCTCAAGGAAGCATGATGTGGTCACCCCTCAGCCTTCTTTTCTCTAGGATCAACAAGTAAGTAACCTCAGCAGCTCTGCTTGCACATTTTTTCCTTTAAAACCTTTCACCACCTTGGATGCCATCCACTGGACACATTCCAACAGTCTGMTGTCCTTATACTGTGGCTCCCAAAACTGCATGCAATACTCAAGGTGAGGCTGTACCAGCACAGAGCAGAGCACCCCTTGATGAGCTGGTGATGCTGTGCCAGGGCATGCTGGCACTGTAACCCAATTACAGAGTTCAATCTGTAATTTCTAGAATTGTAATGAACACAGTAAAATGAGCAGCTCTCTGTGCTTGTCCAGTCAAACCTGTCTAAAACAACATAGAATAAACACTATAAAAAAAAWTTCCAGTTATTTGGACTTTTGACTGCAGACCACAGAGAAGTAGAAAATGAAATGTAAAGGTGTCTGAAGGTTTATTGTAAAATCTAAATAAGATTATGGCTATTATTTTATGGTCAGTCTTCTTATTAGGGCATTTTTCCAGCTCAGAAAGGAYTTATATGTATTGTAGAATGGAAATGACAAAAGTGAAATTAAATTTACAACTAAAAGATGTGCAACCAAATATGACCAACTATTAAAAATAGTAGGGGAAATGAATGAAATAATTTTAAAAACTCATGATTTAAATATKTTAATGAAGGCCTCTGTCTGGTTTTACTTCTTAGCATTTGGACAATAACTTCAGCTTTGCCATCTTGAATATTGCACCTTTTTCTTTCTCTTACTGTTATGGGAGTCGCAATATAGACTATCCAGCTTCTTTGTTTAACAGAAATAGTCTCCGTGTCTACACTCACTTAGGGCAAAAGGAATTTTGTATGGTCTAATTTGCCAAGATGACTTTATAGTATTCCTCTGCACCAGGAAGTTAATTCATGAGTTCAGAAATGCATTGGCTGTGTTTCTGACCTCCTGCTGGGGAACYATAGTCCTGATCTGAATTTAGCATCTCAGCAGAGAAATCAGGACACAAGCAGGGAATAGCTCACCCTTGCCTTATACAGAGTTAAGATGCAATAATACTTAGCAGGAAATTCTGAATTATTCTCTGCATTTTCATCTAAACTCTAAGATTGAATTCTCTTATGCATTAAAGGAAAGCGTATTGTTGAGATCAAAATCTYAATGAAGAATAACTTCTTTAAGCTCTAATTGTTGTCCAAAACCAAGCAGTTTCATAAATASTGGCATCTTTAATACCTGACAATTTAATAGAACTCTAGAAATTCTAATGTAATTATAATTTTTATACCAATAATTATCATTAAAAGTAAATAAGATTTTTTTCAGTTCATTGAAAGGTACAGTTTATGGGAATAAAGTGTTCAGTATTGTACTGTAAGTGTCTGAGAGACTCTACAACAGATTTATCAGAGTATCAGGATCTTAAGCTAGAAATGATGCTATGTTCAGTGAAGCTATAMAGTATCCCATTTCAGAAATTTCCATCCTCTTCACATAAAAACATCATCACAGCAGGGAGAATTGTTTGTCACACTCACCATCAGTTTGCTAGTTGAGTGCTGCTTGAACTTTTGAAATTGGTACAAAAACCCCTCACCTTCAAAGCCCCAACCTTCAAATCTACCTTTTGCAGCCACTTACACTCGTGTTTAAAGCAAGAGGAAAGAAGCATAAGGGGCAACAGGAAACACTGTTCTAAGGAATACACATATCCATTTGCTTTTGTAATTTCAATATTTCATGCTTATCTCCTACCTATGTGCAGGTATCTTGCGATCCCCAGCAATCAGGATAACGTCACAGAGCTGCTGCTGCTTCAAGTAGCTCTCCATCTTCCTGAAGGTTTGCTCTGCATGGTGAACAGCCTGGTAGAATTCCTCAGAGCTACACGAATCCATGTCACAGTGGGGTGGCAAGGGATGGCTGGCTCCTGACAGCCTGTAAATCACAAGAGAGACTCCATGTAGATAGATGTGACCAGGTGTTGACTTCACCACAGCTTCCAGATTCTGAYACAAGTAATCAGTGCCTCCTTTCCCTGTTGTCATCACCAGAAGTACAAGATATAAAAATCTTACTGCATTGAGAGAGAAACTCCCAATTTTTGAGATATTCTAGTGATKTGCTTTTGAATTATGTTTTGTCCAAAAGTGTTCCACATAATCTCCTACAGCCACTGTATGGGGCTCAACAGTTCCAAGCAGAAAAAGACTGGTCCATCTTTCTGTCACAGGAATCACTAGGCCTCACACAGCTGGAATCCTGCATAATTGAAGGTGGCATGCATAAAATTTCACAGGGAACCAACGCAGCTACTTTTTCATCTTGCCCCACCATCCACCCCCACCCNCCATGTACCGGTACTAACTTAACAGAATGAGCTATCATTTAAAATTAAGTAACTTCATTATACCTTAGCTTCATTTAAAATTAATAAATTCATTTTTGTAACATTAAGTCAAATACTGAAAAATTATCAGTTGTTTTAAAGAAATTGATAGTGCCATTTCTGTGCTGGAAAGGTAACAGTATGTGTGAGCCTGAGTATAGGAAATTGAACTGGCAAAATGTTATTAAACATGATTCCTCAACATAAATAGTTATAAATTGGTGATTTAGAAAGAAAGAGTTGCTTAATTCTGTTAGAGCTAATCTTGTTACATTGTCAAGTACTTCATGCCAGATATTTTCTCCTAATGGATCAAACAAAACAAACACATTCATTCTGTGATTGACATAATCTGTTTATGTGTTCCTATCTAACCTGGACTTCAACCATGTTGATCAGAAAACCAAGTTTATTTTCACAGACACTTTCCCACAAAACTCTAATGATAGAACTAAGCTCATCAGAATGAGCAGTGGGCAAAAATATCGGCTTTTTTTTTCTTTATTTTTTTCAATTTCACTTTGATTGTAGCCATACACAAATTTCTTTAGCTTTACTGCTGGATAATTAGAATGTCAAGTAATTTACGAGAAATAAATTAATGCCTAATAAAAGAGGTTGATAGGTCTACACAGATACATTTTTTCCACTCCTCTGGGGAATTTAGAAGTGTCAACAACAGGAATTCTGAGAAAGGAAAATAACAGGAATAAGCAGATCTTAATGGGTTCACGTTGTTTGTTAGCTCAGAAGGTAGGTCTAGGTCAGCTTACATTTGAACAGACAGGATACTAGCCCTGAATGTTTTGGGCTATTCAAAATGTTATCTTTTCCAGGTCAGAAAAAGAGAAGTACCTTGATTGAATTTAGTCTTGTGAAGTAAGATTGGACTATAATAAGCTCAGTCTGTTTTGTTCTTGAGTTGCTACGCAGCGTTTGCCACAAATTTTGCTCTCTTTCCTGCTAGCCATTTATAAGCTACACTTTCTATCCTCTAACTCAGCATATCTGTCACTTACCAMGTCAGTAAGCAAATGCTCAAAAGCAAGCCAGCATATTTTAACTATTAGCCTGGAAAATAGCAAGCRGTAAGCTTAGTAGAAGACAATAAGTTAATCTCTAATTTATTTTCTAAGAAAGCCCAGATAAAAAGCCTGCTGCTTATCCTATTCATRTGCTATCTCTGTTTCATTATGGATGCTCTGTCTGCATAATCAATGCTTTAAATTCAGATAGCAACTCGTTAAAGTAGGAATTAGTTAAAGCAAATACCATTTTTTGGCAATTACCAGTTTGTGAAAGGTACGTATAGGTACTCAGGGCCAACTAGTGATATATGAAAATTACATTTATCTTTGCATATATTGCTCTTGTTTAGGTGCACGAACCACAGATTCAGTGAGATGCTTGTTGATTGCATTCAGCAGCAACTCCAACACAAATCTGACTGAAACCTCCCCGAGTTAGCATTTGTGTACCTCAAAATCATCTAATCAGTGAACTGGACAGACTCCAGGTGGACTTTTTCCATAATCTCCCTCAGCTAGCAAGTGCAAAGCTTGAACAACTGCAGAAATTTCAAACATTTGGGAGTTGTCCAGACTAAAACATTTGTATCTTTAACAGACTTAGTTAAAAGTATAGAAATAAGGAAACCAAACCTTTCTCAGGATTACAGCAATGATACTTCAGGGCGATACTAAGGCATGAGAATACTAAAAGGCTCACAAAAGTTATCAACATTGCTAATAACCAATAATCTTATTTTTTTTTTAACGAAACCAGAGTGCATATCACATAATTAAAAAAAAAAAAAAAAAAAAAAAAAAAAAAAAAAAAAAAAAAAAAAAAAAAAAAGGAAAAAATCCACCTTAGCAAGTTTGTACAGACTAATTTTCAGGGTTAAGAACAGCATCATGCCATTAAAAGAGAAATGATAAAAGAGCCCAAAAGTGTAGAGAAAAATCCATTCCTTGACCCATTACAGATTTTAAAATAGTGCAAATAGAAATAAAAACCTAGAGAATCTAAAACATCCAAATCCACAATGCTTCTCTTTTACTAGAAAAAAAAAATACTGACTTGAGCAAGAATCAAGAGATTAAAACCTCTAGCTTGCAGTAATGCTGTTGAGGAGTTAAAGAGAAAATGCCAGGGGAAAAGGGACTTCACACACAGATTTAGCTACCGGTATCCTTCTTGTTAAGCAATTACAAAATCAGTAGTTAAACCATAATCTGAACAAAAGAATAAAAACCAAGTACTTTGAAATACAGAATTCACATGACTTGAAACTATACCACATCCCTCTGTGTGGCTTAGACTTAAAAATGTTTCCATTCTGGAAATTACATTCATAGAGGTGCAGAAAACAACAGATTCCTACCAGCGTATATGGCAGAGTGCTTTAGAGAATACTCAGGTATTTTAAAGACCCAATTTGAATGCATTTATTCTTAATTCCACTGAAGGCCCTGCCCCCMAAAAAAGAACTCTTTAACCAGAAAACGTAATATAATTTCATTGTTACTGGAATATTAAATCCTGTTCTATTTAACATTTTTCAGTTTTCACTTATGTAAGATTGATCATGCAAACTTTTGCACAACCTGTTCAATTTAATTTAGTGCATATTATTGTCTACATATCCAAAATATATAATCAAGAAACAAAATATATCAAGTTCTTCAGTGAAAAAACATTGCTTTGCTATTTATAGCTTGCAAAACCAGAAGAAGCATTCCATATATGAGTGAAAAAAATCTTCACACAATTCGTTCTCTAAAAATTACTTATTGAATGCTTAGAAATCAATAGCCTGTGAAATTGCACCAACTAAGATGGACTGTCAAAAGTCATGGCTTTCATTAGTGATCACTTGCAAAAAGGCAAGAGGGAGTTTTGTAAAGACTTTAAACAGTTTTCTTACTGCAACAGCAATGCTAAAGTTCTATTTGTGAGCAAAAGCTATGCTTTTCATTCTGCTATCAGCAATCATATCTGCARCTACAGGCTCTGCCCAGAGTTTCAGCAGGTAGAAATGCCAGATAAAAATAATCAGAATATCAAATAGGACTTTTTAGTTTTACCAATTTTGCTCAGAGATATTGTTTCTGTCTCACAGATCCCTTTCCTACGTAAAATAATTAAAAAAAAAAAAAAGAGTCCAGTGCACATTTTAAACTCATTGTTCTATAGATAAATCTGCATAATGTATACTTTACAACAGTGTTTCCTCCTACAGGCAATTTGTGAAACAAGATGCTTGTAAATCATTCTTTGAACACCATAAGGCAAACTACAATCACTAGGACATCTGTGTGCCCAGCAAAAACACAGCTGAATCCTCTTTTGTTCTGTGTTTCTGTACATCTTAATACCACCAGACAAGAAAAAAACCCAGTTACCAGTTTATTGTGTCATCTCAGACAGATTGTTTGAGCAGCTCTTCAGAAACRTAGGAAGGACAATGAGTAGGGACTATTGCACCACACCAAACCGCTTCTATAGAGAAGAAGTGTGTGCCTTGTTTAGTAGCTGTATCGAGTTTGGGTGGCCAGGTTTTGTTGGGGGGTGGAGTCGGGTACAGGGGTGRCTTCCATGAGAAGCTACTGGAAGCTTGCTCCATGTCCAGTAAAGCCAAGATGGACGTGCTGCTGGCCAAGGTTGGGTCAATCAGAAACAGTAGTAAAACCTCTGTGATAACAGATTTTAAAAGAAAAAAAAAAAAAAAAAAAAAGTTACTGCATAGATGTAATTGCAGCCAGAGAAGAGCAGGATGAGAAGATGTGGGAGGAACAGCCCTGCAGACACTGAGGTCAGTGAAGAAGGAGCAGGAAGAGGTACTCCATGTGCTGCAGCTGACATTCCCCTGGAGTCCCTGGTGCAGGTMATGGTGAAGGAGCTGCTYCTCTGCAGCCCATGGAGCATCATGGGGACACAGAGATCCACCCACAGCCCACGGCAGAGCCCCATCCTGGAGCAGGTGAATGTCTGAGAGGAGACTGYGAACTTGTGAGAGCCCTGTAATGCACAAGGGTCCTGGCACGGACCCGCAGACCTGTGGAGACAGGAGCAGATTCTCACTCTGCAGAAAATTTTCTTTGATAGGACTTGAGACCCATGCTGGAGCATCCAATGCCTGAAGCACTGCTCCCTGTGGAAGAGTGACCAGCTTGCAGCAGTTTGTGAAGAACTGTTGACCATGGAATGGACGTACATTGGAGGATATCAAGAACTGTCTACAGTGGGAGGGACCCCATGTTGGAGCAATGGAAAGACTCTTCTCCCTGAGCAAAGTCAGGAACAACACGTGATGCACTGACCACGACCCCCATTCCTTGTCTCCCTGCACTRATGCAGGGGAGTAGGTAGCGGCTGGGAAGGAGGAAGGAGTGGGGGAAAGGTGTTTGTTAGATTTATTTTACTGCTCATTATCCTGCTCTGGTTTTGTTAGTAATAAATTCAGTTAATGTCCCCAAGTAGACTCTGTTTTGCCTGTTTCAGTATTTACTAAGTGATTCTCCCAGTTCTTATATCAACCCATGAA